GACATCCATTAAAAAATCACCTTCTTGGATCCATCAAAACTGTTATTTTAGACATGCAGTGGCAACAAGTGCATGGATAATAAAAGCGCATTACACACAGATAAATGCTGGATTTGGGACAACCTCTTGCAGGATGGGTTGTTGTAGGTTTTTCCAGGCTATATGGCCGTGTTCTGGAGGCAATTTTTCTCCTGATGTTTCGCCTGCATCTATGGCAAGCATCCTCAGAGGTAATGAGGTCTGTTGGAACTAGGAAAAATGGGTTTATATATCTGTGGAATGACCAGGGTGAGACAAAGGACTTTTGTTTGCTGGGGCTAGCTGTGAATGTTTCAGCTGATCACCTTGATTTGCATTCAATGGCTTGGTAGTGCCTGGGGGGAATCTTTTGTTGAGGGTGATTTCATGTGCCTGTTTGTTTCCCCTCTGTTGTTTTGCTGCTGTAATTTTTGAGTTTTTTAATACTGGTAGCCAGATTTTGTTCATTTTCATGGTTTCTTCCTTTCTGTTGAAATTGTCCACATGCTTGTGGATTTCAATGGCTTCTCTGTGTAGTCTGACATGGTGGTTGTGCGAGTGGTCCAGCACTTCTGTGTTCTCAAATAATATGCTGTGTCCAGGTTGGTTCATCAGGTGCTCTGCTATGGCTGATTTCTCTGGTTGAAGTAGTCTGCAGTGCCTTTCATGTTCCTTGATTCCTGTTTGGGCACTGCGTTTGGTGGTCCCTATGTAGACTTGTCCACAGCTGCATGGTATACGGTAGACTCCTGCAGAGGTGAGAGGATCCCTCTTGTCCTTTGCTGAACGTAGCATTTGTTGGATTTTCTTGGTGGGTCTGTAAGTGGTTTGTATGTTGTGTTTCCCTATGCGGTCAATGGTTCCCTTGATGTATGGCAAGAACTCTTTTCCTCTGGGTGGATCTTCATCTTTATTCTCCTGCCTTATTCTTGGTCTTGCAGCTCTTCTGATGTCTGGAGTATCCATTGGCCTGTAGAGCCCAGTTTAGGTGGTTCAGTTCATCTTGGAGGAGGTGGGGTTCGCAGATTCTTTTTGCACGGTCTGCCAAGGCTTTAATTGTGCTTCTTTTTTGACTTGGGTGATGGTTGGAGTTTTTATGTAGATATCTATCCGTGTGTGTTGCAGGATATCAAACTTCACACTTTCATCAGCATCTAGGAAAGCTAGCATCTTTAAAAAAAAAAAAAGAAGGAAGTGAAGAAGGAAACAAAATAGCCATTTGTTACCCTGAGCTGTCTTGAGTGACATTTTAAAATAGAAAGACAGGTTGAAGCACAAACAAAAAATATCAATTCATCCTTTGGTTGTAATGAAAATGTTTCCTACCAGGAGGGTTTGTAAAAAAAAAAGTTCAATCCCATGGTTTAGAAATATCCAGCCTTCACTTGTGGTCCTGTTCTCTGTTTGGGAGGATGGGGATAGAGGCTTATTGGCACGGCTCTTTCAATTTGTAATCTGAAAGCAAACAACAGGACAGTGAAGGAGTTGTTCAGCACCCGCTTCTATTTGTGCTGGACTGTAAATAGTTCCATTTTAGTCAACAGAGAGCCCTCTGCTGACTTTTCTCTTTCATCAATATCAGCTGTTCTTTACTCTATTTGCTTTCGACTTTTCCTTTCCACCTTCCCTCCCCTCCTCCTTTGAAATCATTATATAACATCTCTATCCATTTTCTTTAAATCTGTAAGAGATGTTACTTTTTAAAAAAAAACATTAAAAACTTTTCCCAACTTTGTGTGTGTGGCTTCAAGTTGCCTGCCAACGTATGGTAACCTCATGAATTTCATAGGATTTTCTCAGGCAAGGAATACTCAGAGGTAGTTTTGCCAGTCTCTTACCTTGAAATATAATTTATAGATTCTGATATTCATTGGTGGCCTCAAATCCAAGTCCTACATAGAGAATGGGGTTGGATTGGATGTTCCTTGAGATTTCTTCCAACTCAATGACTCTATGATTCTATTGGACAATCACGTGTCCCTGGTCCCCTTTCACTACTCTACCTTTTAGACTTGGTGTAGGCAAGAACCTTTGTTTGAAATTATTTTTGCTTGTACAATAGACCGGAGCCCCCGGTGGCGCAGTGGTTTAAAGCACTGAGCTGCTGAGCTTGTTGATCGAAAGGTCGCAGGTTCGATTCCGGGGAGCGGCGTGAGCTTCCGCTGTCAGCCCTAGCTTCTGCCAACCTAGCAGTTCGAAAACATGCAAAATGTGAGTAGATCAATAGGTACCACTCCGGCGGGAAGGTAACAGCGCTCCATGCAGTCATGCCGGCCACATGACCTTGGAGGTGTCTACGGACAACGCTGGCTCTTCGGCTTAGAAATGGAGATGAGCACCACACCCCAGAGTCAGACATGACTGGACTTAATGTCAGGGGACTACCTTTACCTTTACCTTACAATAGACCAGTGGTGCTCAATATTCCTAATGCCGTGACCCCTTAATACAGTTCTTTATGTAGTGGTGACCTCCAGCCATAAAATAATTTCATTGCTACTTCATAACTGTAATGTTGCTACTGTTATTAATTGTAATGTAAACATCTGATATGCGGGAGGGATTTTCATTCACTGGACCAAATTTGACACAAATACCCAATACGCCCCAAATTTGAATACGGGTGGGGTTGGGATGGGAGGATTGATTTATAGTTCACCTACATTCAAAGAGCATTCTGAACTCTACCAACAATGGAATTGGACCAAACTTGGCACACAGAACTCCCATGACCAAAAGAAAATACTGGAAGGGTTTGGTGGGCATTGACCTTGAGTTTTGGAGTTGTAGTTTACCTACATCCATCGAGCACTGTGGACTCAAACTATGATGGATCTGGATCAAACTTGGCACAAATATTCAGTATGTCCCAATGTAAACACTGGTGAAGTTCGGGGAAAATAGACCTTGACATTTGGGAGTTGTAGTTGCTGGGATTTATAGTTCACCTACAATCAAAGAGCATTCCGAACTCCACCAATGATGGAATTGGGCCAAATTTAGCACACAGGGCTCCCATGACCAACAGAAAAAACTGGGTTTGGTGGACATTGACCTTGAGTTGGAAATTGTAGTTCACCCACATCCAGAGAGCACTGTGGACTCAAACAATGATGGATCTGGATTAAACTTGGCACAAAAATTCCATATGCCTAAATATGAACACCTTAGGGAAGGCTGAGCAAAGGAAGATCGATGCTTTTGAGCTGTGGTGTTGGAGGAAAGTTCTGAGAGTGCCTTGGACTTGAGAAGATCCAACCAGTCCATCCTCCAGGAAATAAAGCCCGACTGCTCATTGGAGGGAAGGATAAGAGACAAAGTTGAAGTCCTTTGGCCACATCATGAGGAGACAGGAAAGCTTAGAGAAGACAATGATGCTGGGGAAAGTGGAAGGAAAAAGGAAGAGGGGCCGACCAAGGGCAAGATGGATGGATGGCATCCTTGAAGTGACTGGATTGACCTTGAAGGAGCTGGGGGTGGTGACGGCGACAGGGAGTTCTGGCGTGGGCTGGTCCATGAGGTCACGAAGAGTCAGACAACTGAACGAATGAACAACAACAACAAATATGAACACAGTTGGAGTTTGGAGGACATAGACCTTGACATTTGGGATTTGTAGTTACTGGGATTTATAATTCACCTACAATCAAAGAGCATTCTGAAACCCACAAATGACAGAAATGAGCCAAACTCCCCACACAAAACCCCCATCACCAACAGAAAATACTTAAGGCCATTCAGTCCACCAGGGCAAGAAAATGTAATCATTTCCTGGAGTATGGACTGGCTTGATCTTCTCGAGATCCAAGGCACTCTCAGAAATTTTCTCCAGCACCACAGTTCAAAAGCACCTATCTTCCTTCGCTTAGCCTTCCTTATGGTCCAGCTCTCACATCCATGGGGTTGCTATGGGGAATAACCATTGCTTTAACTATGTGGATCTTTGTTGTCAGTATAATTTTATCAAGACTGGTCATTGTTCTCCTCCCAAGAAGTAAATGTCATCTGATTTCCTGGCTGCAATCTGTGATTGCAGTAATCTTTGCACCTAGAAATACAAAGTCTGTCACGGCTTCCATGTTTTCTCCCTCTATTTTCCAGTTATCAATCTGTCTGGTTGCCACAATCTTGGGGTTATTACTATTTCCCAGGCGACAGCAGGTTGAAGAGAAACAACTGGAAAAGCTGACACGATATGAGGATTTAAAGATCAAACTGCAAAGACTGTGGCACAAAGCAGTAAAGGTGGTCCTAGTAGTGATCGGCACATTGGGTGGAGTGCCTAAAGACCCCGGCCTGCACTTAAACACAATCGACGCTGACAAAATTACCATCTGCCAGCTGCAAAAGGCCACTTTACTGGGATCTGCATGCGTAATTGGCTGATACATCACACAGTCCTAGACACTTGGGAAGTGTCTGACATGTGATCCAATACAACAGCCAGCAGAGCAGGCCCATAGCCAGGATTTCGATTCGGGTAGGGGGGGGGCATGAGTTTTTTTCTTCAGGGGTTCATGGGGGCTGAGTTTCGGGGTGGGCTGAGTCTGAGTGAAAGAGGGTCTACCCTAGCAAACCTTTTGTATCATTACCCCAATACCCCCATGAATATGGGATATATTGAGTATGGTGATCAGATCATGATATGAATAAACATAACAGTTTAAATAATGCACCAGTAAGGCCTTTTCGCGAACCACCATGAGCGATCTTGTCTGCTGTGGACTCATCTTGTTGTGTTTCAAATAATAATATCATACCATAAAGTAAACTCTGTATTGACCTGAACCTGAAAAATAGTAATTAAAAGCAAATGAACTGAGAGTCTACAGAATTAATCAGAGTATAGCTCAGAATAAACCTAGTATTTGGTAAGGTTTGCTAAACTCTCCTCCCTGGGAAGTGGCTGGTCAGCTGTGGCTTTAAGGGAACCACCTTAAGGAAGCTCCATCCTCCCCCCACCTTTGCCCTGAGTGGGCAGCGTCACGGGTGGGTGGCTGGGATGCCATAAAGGTGCCCATCGATCGCCTGGAGGAGTCCCTCAAGTCCTGCCGCGGATCCACAGAGCTGCTCCAGGTAGAGAGAGTCGACCAGCTGGTCTCTAGCTGCCCCCCTTGGCACTTAGTCCTCTGTCTGTCGCCTCCTTTGCATGTGGGACTTCTGGGGCTGCTTTTGCCTTTCCTCCCTCCCCAAAAAGAACTCCTTCTTGCGCCTTTTGGCCACCCGAATCCGGCGGATGTGCCAGATGGGATTTAGTGCCGGCCATTTGGCCACTTAATCACCCCGGATCAGCTTTTGATCCGCTTCTTTTCTCCCTCCACCCCCCCCCCCCCCGCTTTAAGTTGCTCAGCTCACCCACTTCTCTCAGCCAGGGCTATTCACAGACCCCAGAGTTCACTTAATTCCTCCCAGATCTAATTCTATCTCCAGCTATATTTATATTTGCCCCTCCCTCTAAGCTGCCTGTAATACAGCTTTGCCAGACCTCCCTTTCTGATTCCTCCTTTCCCACTTTGAAGAAGCCTTGAAATATATTCATTAAGCAAAGACTTCTGGAACTGCTGCTTTCTCTTTGTGATCTTAACAGGTTAGACAGATGGGTCAAAACTAACAAAATGAAGTTCCAACAGGGACAAATGCAAAATAGAATGATACAATCATAGAATCAAAGAGTTGGAAGAGACCTCATGGGCCATCCAGTCCAGCCCCCTGCCAAGAAGCAGGAATATTGCATTCAAATCACCCCTGACAGATGGCCATCCAGCCCCTGTTTAAAAGCTTCCAAAGAAGGAGCCTCCACCACACTCCGGGGCAGAGAGTTCCACTGCTGAACGGCTCTCACAGTCAGAAAGTTCTTTCTCATGTTCAGATGGAATCTCCTTTCTTGTAGTTTGTTTCGCGTCCTACTCTCCAGGGAAGCAGAAAACAAGCTTGCTCCCTCCTCCCTGTGGCTTCCTCTCATATATTTATACATGGCTATCATATCTCCTCTCAGCCTTCTCTTCCTCAGGCTAAACTTGCCCAGCTCCTTAAGGGCTTGTTCTCCAGACCCTTGCCAGAAGGACATCTCCCAGGAAGAACCAGTAACAGAGCTTTACCAATACAATAGTTCCCAGTAAGACCCAATAATGGAGCTTCACCAAGAGGACAGCTCCCAGTAAGACCCAATAATAGAACCTTGCCAGGAGAATGGTTCCCAGTAAGACCCAATAATAGAGCTTTGCCAGGAGGACAGCTACCAGTAAGACCCAACAATAGAGTTTTACCAAAACAACAACTCCTAGTAGGACCCAATAATAGAACTTTACCCATACAACAACTCCTAGTAAGACCCAATAATGGACCTTGATCAGGAGGACAGCTCCCAGTAAGACCCAACGATAGAGCTTTACCAATACAACAGCTCCCAGTAAAACCCAATAACAGAGCTTTACCAGATGGAGAGCTCCTAGTAAGACTTAAGTGTTTGTGCATTGAAGTTTGTAACCATTAAGCTATGTAAAACCATTTTGTGTGTGTATCCATCTCTTTCAAGTTCATTTTGATATTTTTCTAATAAATAAAAGAATCCAAATGAGTTTTCTCTCCCCCTTTTCAGCATCTTGAGTGCTCTCCGCTTTAATTTACATGTTCCTTTTTTCAAAGTTCAGCTCATACTTCTATGGATGATACAAATGATGCACATGATGAAAAGTCTGATCTAAACAGATCTTGTCTGTAGCTCTTCAGATTTGCTTCTTATCTCTAAAGCAGGACATCGGCAACGGACAGCTCTGATCTCCAAAATAACAACCCTTTGCCCTATTAGATCTTAATCAAAGAGCTCACAGTTTCCATCACAGAAGATTTAAAAGTTTTCAAAGTTGTTTGAAACAGATAACAACAGCTAGTTAAATCCTCTCCCCAAGATGTCTAAATGCAACATATAAAGCAATGTCTGATTGAACATATGGTTGGTATATTCGAATGCCTGCTGCTTTGTTATGGGATAAATATCCTTTCTTCCAGCTGAGTGTAGAAAATTACTTTTTCAAATTAATTCATCTATACTATAAATTAAAACATTTTGGAAGTAACCTAATCCAGGGGTTTGCTGTGATACTGGGGAAAATAACAATTTTATAACTTTTTTTTGTTATTTAGGATTGATAAAACATCTGTCAATCTATATAAATAAAAAATGTAATGTTCGTTTGTGGTATTCACAGAACTCAAAAACCACTGGGGCAATTGACACCAAATTTGGACACAAGACACCTAACAACCCAACGTATGTCCTTCACTCAAAAAAATTGATTTTGTCATTTGGGAGTTGTAGTTGCTGGGATTTATAGTTCACCTACAATCAAAGAGCATTCTGAACTCCCACCAATGATGGAATTGAACCAAACTTGGCACACAGAACTCCCATGACCAACAGAAAACACTGGAAGGGTTTGGTGGGCATTGACCTTGAGTTTTGGAGTTGTAGTTCACCTACATCCAGAGAGCACTGTGGACTCAAACAATGATGGATCTGGACCAAACTTGGCACAAATACTCAACATCTACATGAAGCCGCTGGGGGAGATCATCCGGAGTTTCGGGGTACGGTGTCATCTGTACGCGGATGATGTCCAACTCTGTCACTCCTTTCCACCTGCTACTAAGGAGGCTGTCCAGGTCCTGAACCGGTGCTTGGCCGCTGTGACGGTCTGGATGAGGGCGAACAAATTGAAATTGAATCCAGACAAGACAGAGGTACTCCTGGTCAGTCGCAAGGCCGAACAGGGCATAGGGTTACAGCCTGTGTTGGATGGGGCCGCACTCCCCCTGAAGATGCAGGTTCGCAGCTTGGGTGTGACCCTGGACTCATCGCTGAGCCTGGAACCCCAGGTTTCGGCGGTGACCAGGGGAGCATTTGCACAGCTAAAGCTTGTGCGCCAGCTGCGCCCGTACCTTGGGAAGTCTGACTTGACCACGGTAGTCCACGCTCTGGTTACATCCCGTTTAGACTACTGCAACGCTCTCTACGTGGGGTTGCCTTTGAAGACAGCTCGGAAGCTCCAACTAGTCCAACGCTCGGCAGCCATGATTTAACAGGAGCGGAACGCAGGGAGCATACAACCCCCCTGTTGCGCCAACTCCACTGGCTACCAATTTGCTACCGGGCTCGATTCAAAGTGCTGGCGTTGGCCTTTAAAGCCCTAAACGGTTCCGGCCCAAGCTACCTATCCGACCGCATCTCTGCCTATGAACCCACCAGGACTTTGAGATCTTCCGGGGAGGCCCTGCTCTCGATCCCGCCTGCTTCTCAAGCACGGCTGGCGGGGACGAGAGATAGGGCCTTCTCGGTGGTGGCTCCTCGGCTGTGGAACGCCCTTCCTACGGACATTAGACTAGCACCATCTCTAATGGTATTCTGCAGGAAAGTGAAGACCTGGCTGTTTGAGCAGGCGTTCGAATAATTAGTGCAATGATTGGTTAATGAACATTGGAACGGAATAATGGATGACGAATCTGGATCATGTTTTTGATGATGAGACGATAGTGAATAGTGAACGGTTATTGTAGTAATTGTTTATTAATTATGTAATATGTTAGGTTGTTAACTGTTTTTACACTGTAGCATTGAATTTTTGCTGTGTTGTGAACCGCTGTGAGTCGCCTTCGGGCTGAGAACAGCGGTATATAAGTAAAGTAAAGTAAAGTAAAGTAAAGTAAATAAATAAATATGCCCAGATGTGAACACTGGTGGAGTTGGGGAAAATAGAATCTTGACATTTAGGAGTTGTAGTTGCTGGGATTTATAGTTCACCTACAATCAAAGAACATTCTGAATCCCACCAACAATAGAATTGGACCAAACCTCCCACACAGAACCCCCATGTGGGCCACAGCAACGCGTGACAGGGGATGGCTACTTTATTAATATATTTATATCCCTACCTGTTTACTGGTGGTACCCCTTCCTCCCCAAAAAGACCCAAATTCTGTTTTTAAAAAGATCTCTGAAATGCAATATGAAAGTAACATTTGAACGTAGCTGGAACCATTAACACTAATAAAGGAATACTGCTCTTACTCATTGCACTACTTTTGAAATATAACTTCTTTACATCCTTGTTGCAAATTTGTTCTAGTTTTTGTGTCATTTCCAATTTATGGCTATCTTAAGTATTTTCCAGTTGGTGGTTTGAATTCGGGGAGTAGGGTAAGCTCCTGCTATTAGTCCCAGCTTCTGCCAACCTAGCTGTGCAGGTACAGCTGTATCAGGAGCTCCAATTTTGTTTGCTTTGCATTGAATGTTTGTTGTAGTCCTAAGTTTCAGGGACTCTGCAGATAGGTGGCTTCTTTTGGCTGCAATCATAGGGCAAGCCACCTGTCAATTGCAGTTAGGTTCCCTGGTCCCACCCCCTTTTTGGGTTTTTGGAGGGAATAGGAGCCTTTTTGGGTTCAGTCCACACAGAGAAACCTTTCACACAGGACATGAAACCAAGAGCTCCTGTAGAAAGCTTCGTCTTCTACAGATTGGCCGGGGAGAAAAGGCCCCACAGCTTGGCTGAGGATTTTGCAACCTTACAACTCCTTTGCTGAGGGAATCCGGTCCCACAGCACTTCAGTCAGCCATCACCGAAACTCCTTCTTTTCCCCTGGAAGTCTACAAAGCTTTGCTTGTTAAGGGTCACTCGCGGAAGCCAGAAGTAGTTGGTACCGGGTGCAGGGGCTCCACACCAACAGAGGCAAAGACAGACTGCCCAGATTAGAAGTTAAGGATTTCCCCATTAGTTAAAATACCGCTTATGAAGATAGTGCCTGTTCCCTGTGGACAAGATTGAAAGAGCCAATAGATTGTTAAGAAAGCTTTAAAGTACCTGTTTGTTTTCATTAATAAAGAACTTTGTTGAACCTTTAAGCAATCTAAAGACTCTGTTTTAAGGAAATCCAAAGGCCTTTAATCTGAGGCAGCCCCGGCATCCCGTTGGGCACACAGAATTTATGTCCTGCCTACAGTCTTATGCACAGGCCCAGCGTGCGACAGCACACTAGAAGTTCAAAAACATGCAAATGTGAGTAGATCAATAGGTACCACTTCT